GGCCTCTATAAATAATAAGCAGTGTAAACACACTTTTTCAACTTAGAATCCTGAGAATATACATGTCTTATGGTTTTAATAAAAACAGGAACGCATGGAAGAAAAAGAGGCTAGTTACCTTAATACTATAAAAGAAGAGGACTAGGAAATAATTCAGTGGTGGGGCATTTGCCTAACATGATAGAGGCTCTAGGTTCAATCCCCAATACCAAAAAATATATATATACACACTAGGAAAGAAGAGGGTTACAGGCCCATTGTGTGCAGTATGTTTTAAGAGCAATCTATTCCATACCCCACCATGTGTAATAGTAAAGCTTTTTGGTTGAAACAGATCTCACCACCAATACCGGAGGTGAAATCTAATTGTCTTAAGTCCAACAGGAAAATTCCATTCTCAACATCATACAATCAATTCAGAGATAAGAAACTATAACCCAAGTCTCAGTTCTCTGGAATCCATCTCCTGGTTTTAATTATTGGTTCCAAGATAGCCCAATTACAATAACTCAGAACACTACTTCTATGATGAGGGAAAGGATGCTTTTGCTCCTGCTAGATATGAAGGATATCCATAGATAGATAGATAGATAGATAGATACACACACCACACATATATATGTATATATGTGTATATATGTATGTGTATATGTGTGTATATATACATATAGATGTATATATGTATATGTATGTATGTGTGTGTGTGTGTGTATATATATATATATATATATATATATATATATATATGTTTGATGAAGCTAGCCATCTTATTATAGCTATACAAGAAACCACCCTGAAGGTAGTTTCATAGAAGTCAATGCACAGGGCCAGAAAATTGTCAGAAAGCCACTCTACCTCAGGATGTATCTATTAAAGCTATCAACAAATAACCTCTTTTTTAATTTTTTTTTAGTAGTTGTAGATGGACAATATGCCTTTATTTTATTTGTTTATTTTTTATATGGTGCTAAGGATTAAACCCAACGCCTCACATGTGTAGGCAAACAGTCTGTCACTGAGCTACTACAGCCTCAGTCCAACAAATAACCTCTTATTGCTGAAGTCAGCTTGACTTTGGTTTTTCCAATGAAAGCATCTTTGTTAACAGGATAACTAAAACCTAAAACCTAATACCAATTTTTTTTTAACCATGTTGGGGATAAAACCCAGGGCTTCTATCACTAAGCTACATACATCCTGGCCCTAACACCTCCTCTTAATCTGATCTCTTAAGTCAATATAAAATTCCATTATCTTTAGCTATGATAAACAGAGTACTCTAAGATTTCATCTCACTCCAGTCAGAAGGGGAGCTATCAAGAATACAAACTATAGGGCTGGAATTGTGGCTCAGGAGTAGAGCACTAGCCTCGCAGGGGCGGGACCTGGGTTCGATCCTCAGCACCACATAAAAATAAAGGCATTGTGTTGTGTCCATCTACACCTAAAAAATAAATATTAAAAAAAAAGAATACAAACAATAATAAAATGTTGGCGAGGATATGGGGGAAAAGGCACAATCATACATTGCTGTTGGGACTGCAAATTGGTGCAGCCAATATGTAAAGCAGTATGGAGATTCCTTAGAAAACTTGGAACCACCATTTGACCCAGCTATCCCACTCCTTGGTTTATACCCAAAGGACTTAAAAACAGCATACTATAGGGACACAGCCATATCAATAGCTAAATTATGGAACCAACCTAGATGCCCTTCAGTGGATGAAAGGATTAAAAAATGTGGCATATATACACAATGGAACATTACTCAGCATAAAAGAGAATAAAATCATGGCATTTGCAGGTAAATGGATGAAGTTGGAGAATATAATGCTAAGTGAAGCAAGCCAATCCCACAAAACCAAAGGCCTAATGTTTTCTTTGATATGAGGATGCTGACTCATAATGGTGATGGGGGGGGGGAGCATGGGAGGAATGGAACTTTAGATAGTGCAAAGGGGAAGGAGGGGAAAGGAGGGAGTAAAGGGGTAGGAATGATTGTAGAATGAGTTAGACATCATTAACCTAAGTACATATATGAAGACATGAATGGTGTGAAATACTTTGTGTACAATCAGTGACTTGAAAACTTGTGCTCTATATGTGTAATATGAAATGAATTGCATTCTGCCATCATGAATAACAAATTAGAATAAATAAATAATTTAATTTTTAAAATTCCATTATCTTTAGCTATGATGATTTATTTAACTATTCCTTACTGATGACAGGATATTTGAAAAAATTACCATAAATAATCCTCAATGAACACCCATGTACATATGTGGGGGTTTCTAGACATCATCATTATTATTATTATTATTATTATTATTATTATTATTATTTCTAAAGGTTCCTAGATATGAAACTACAAGGTCATAGAGTACTCCTGCTTCTCTGCCTGACTTCTCATGAATGCATTATTCACAATAGTCCATTAACCCCAAAAGGAAAGACCAGCCCAAGAAGCAGACTGCACAGAAAATCAGGAAAAAACTTTACACTAGCTGGATTAGAATAAACCCTTAGTGAAGGATTTTGAACTGACAAGCAAAGATATTAAAAAGCAAGGCATAGTAGCACATGTCTAAAGTAGGAGGATCACTTGAGCACAAGAGTTCATGACCAGCCTAGGCAACATAGTGAGATTCTATTAAGAAAAAAAGGACAGAAAGAAAAAGATGGTTTAAGTTACTTACTACTCCAACAATAATAGTTTGATAAAAACAAATCCATAAAGGGCCTATGGGTTAATTATGAGTTGTAATATAACCACATATAATTCAATATCTAACTTTCCAGAGTTAAACAGAAATCAATTAAAGGTATTTGAGTTGGATATTTATGGACTTCCATCATCACCATAACTATCAATATCACAACCATTTATATCTATGTCCTATCCCCCACTTGTCCACTGGGTCAAAATTCCACAGGAAATAAGATAGTCACAGGTAATCAATCTCTCAATTCTTTCAGCTCTTTACTCAATTAGCTTCTCAGTGAGGTTTTTCCCAGACCAATTATTGTAAAATTACAGATCCCACTCACACTCGTCATTCCTTTCTTATATTATTCTCCATAGGATTTTCACCTTCCAGCATACTATACATTTTACTTTTTGTACATCTCTTTCCACTAAAACGTAAGCACTAATAGCAAAGAGATTTTTCTGCTTTATACATTGTTGGGATCTCTGTTAAGTATTTGTTGCATTAACACAGGGACGGCTGGGGATACAGCTCAGTGGTAGAGGACTTGCCTAGCATGTGCAGTGTCTTACGTTCGATTCCCAATCATCGCAAAAACTAACAGGGCTGGGGATATAGTTCAGTGGGAGACCCTGGGTTCAATCCCCAAGTTAAATAAATGGAGACAACTATGTCAAGGAAATCTGAACTGCCCTACCCATCTGGACCTCCAACATCCTTTATATGGTCAGTAAACCATATGAAGTTTAAACACACACCCTAAAAATTTTATTGCCATCTCTAACAGGAAGTAATATCTTTACATATCAAATTTATACAGAGAACAAGTCAGATCCAACCAGAAGAAAACTGAATATAGACTGAAGAAACCCAACACAACTTGCTAAACCACAGATACCAGGTTTTTTTCCCTAGACTTTTGTTAGGTAAACATGGAGTGTCTCGATGATAGGAATAGCAAAAGATCAGAAATGAAAGATAGTTCCAACCAACAGACAACCTGTCACGCATGCAGGGGGCGGAAGGGGCGTGGAAGCACAACTACAGACTGATAAAACTCCGAGACGGCCTACCCGCGGTCTGGGCTCCTCTTCCCGAGGGAACAGGAAAAAGAGACAGTCCGTTTCTACGAATCTCCCAAACAGCCCCGGGACCTGCACCAGAGGTCTGAACACCTCCAAGTGTCGGAAAAGCTTAAAATGGCATCCCCCGGGGTGGGAGGCTAAGGGAAGCAGGAGTGGCGAGGGTACGTTACCCTGAGAAGAGCCAGTTCAACGGGAATTCTCCAGCCGGAAGTTTTGTGGGACGCCAGAACACCAAGGCCTGTAACCTGGGCATCCAGGCTAGGCACCAAATCAACCAAATTCACTCCGGCGCTGCAGAATCCACATGGGAGTTTCAATGGCGCGCACCGTACACCTCAGCTCTGGGAGACCGTCTTTTCCCTGGCCCCGCCCCCGAATGACAGCGCTCGCGCGGCGTCGTAGCCCTCCCACCACAGTTCTTTCCGCTGGGGCTGGCGCGCCGTGGCACGCATGCGCAAATGTTGGATGCCGCTGAGCACGTCGGGAAGTGTAGTCGCCGTGCCCGTGCCGGTGAGCCGCCAGAGTCCGACGTCCCGGCGGAATCCGTGGAAGTCTGAGCACTCCTACCACCCTACCCTTATTCCCATCTTCACACCTGTCTCGTCACCTCACACGCACGCTCCATCCCCACGCGCTGGGCTTCTGTCAGGGCGCGTCTCGAGGGACGGCTCCAGACCCCTTCATCCCTTCAGCTGGCTGTACCGGGGAGGCGGGGTCCACCCCCC